ACTCTAGTCCAGCTACATTATTGATTGTCTCACATTTGCTTTGCTTATGTGCAAAGTGGATAAACAAGCGGATTAACAGCTCCCTCTTGTTTTTGTCTCAGGTAAACTTCTTCAGGATCCCATTTCCCCAACACATGCAGAGTGTCAGCATTACGTGTGCCTGGGCTGCAAAGGCCAGCAGATGCAGCTCCGGCCGTCGTGCAGCCGCTGTAAGGACTATTCCTGTTTCCAGGAGAATAAACAGCTCTCCTTGCTGGTTCAGTGCTACAGGAAGCTTTGCCTATATGTAACTCATTCACCGTTGCTGCAGATGGTCAGCAGTCATGTGGGAGGATCTCCAGAGGTTATGGCCTTGTTAGAGGAAGTGCTAGTGTCACACGAAGAGGATATAGATACAGAGGACCCAAGCCTAGCGCAGGCGGACGTGAATCCTTCTGCGCCTGAGTCACTTACCCCCACTGAGGCGCCACCTGTTCCTGCAGAGCTCTCGGCTGTACCCCAGAGTTCTTCCTCAGACCCTCCCTGTTCCAATGGACCGCAGGAATGCAACGGAGAAGTGCTGGAGGATCTAGATCCCTCTTCTCCTGAGCTGGAGGTATGTGAGCTGGTAGAGGAACAGCCACAGGGAGGCCTGTCTGTCTCCAGTACTGGTTGTGGTGGTCTGGAACTGAGTCTGACCACTGGACCTTTAGCTCCAACTCCAGGCACTGTGTGCTCTCTCAGGGATGGGGAATCAAGCAGCAGAGAGCTGGAGGAGGGAGAGGTGTTGCTGCTCAGCATGGAGGAGGTCTTACAGACTTTGGATCCTCTTCAGCCCAGTCGAGATCCCTCTCACACACTTCCAGACAGGACGCACACTCATACGCACATAGCCACTGACAGAACGCACACTCAAATGTACATTCAGCTCGATGCTGCTCATAACTACACACAGATTCAAACAGACAGGACTAACGCAGTGGGAAGCCATGGTGCTCATATACACACATCCTCCTACAATCCTCCTCCAACCACAAAGCCCCCGCCTGTCCGCCTTAACCGCAAACGATCTCGTTCAGAGAGTGACAGGGAAAAGGTGAATCCCCTCCCTATCACCTCCATCCTACAGGGCTCGTCCTCACATTTACACACTCCAAACCCCTCTCATCTGCTGCACACACAACCACCCACACCCTCCTTGACTGTACCAGCACACACATACTCATCCCTTCCCAACGGGGGGCCTCCAAAGTCCAGCCGACCTGCCCCCATCCACAATAAAGGTGCCAGGAAACATGTCGATCCAGCCCACAAGAAGCCACATGCCAAGGCCCGCAGCGGTGGAGGCTCCAAGACCAAGGACCGAAGCAAAGACCAGCGGTTGATGACAGGCTGCCTGGTGCCCCCAGCTCCTGCCAGGCCTCCATACAAGAAGCCAGTGGAGAAGAAGGGCTGTAAGTGTGGCAGGGCCACTCAGAACCCCTCTGTGTTGACCTGCAGGGGGCAACGCTGTCCCTGTTACTCAAACCGCAAGGTGAGACAATGATCACTGCCTGGATCAATTGTTTAATGGTTTCTGTTGTTCTGTTTAATCGGCTCTTTAAAACTGCAAGGCAATATTATGAGATTGAATATAGATTGTTGATGTAATATTTTTATGTAGTGTGAGTAAGCACTACATAATATTTTTAATATGAACCTCCGTAAGAGAATTTGATGCCAAGATAACTCACAAATAAACACGCTATAAATTATAAGACCATTCGTTGACCTTTTTTAAAGCTTTGATTTGAGGTAAATATGTTTAAAGGTTTATTTAGATTCCTATTCATTCCGGTCGACAGTCTTTAGTTGCAGATTTCATGTGACATTGGTGTGATGCATATCTCCTCATCTACTCTCTGTCACCTCTCTCAGGCATGCTTGGATTGTATCTGCCGAGGTTGCCAGAACTCCTACATGGCCAACGGTGAGAAGAAGCTCGAGGCCTTCGCCGTGCCGGAAAAAGCACTGGAACAGACGCGGCTCACGCTCGGCATCAACCTCACCAGCATCACGGCGGCCGCGGCGCTACGCAACCCGCCGACCTCCAGCATCCGAGCGAACACCCTCCTCAACGTGGCCACAGCGACGGGAACCCCCGTGACCACAGCCTTCCTGTCCCCGAGCCCCCCACAAGAGCCCAACTACGAGGACAGCCTGGAGCTGCTGATCGGATGAGAGGCTGGGACTCCAGAAACAGACAGCTCTGTGCTGAATGAATGTGACAGCTGATCTTTGTGTCTGACAGACAACCCCGTACCTCCCACCCTCCGCAGGGGAGGCAATCTAAGGCAGCTATGGGTCTGTCCTGTCATGTAACCTGCTCTTCTTCTGTGTTGGAAAATGCTGAGTAGTAAGACTAGCATGGGTGTGCCAAAGCCTCCTGTATTGTGCCTGTGTGCCGGTGTGTGTTGTTGCCTGTCTGTAGATTAACACTTATACTCGGTTCCACGGCTGTTCTGTACTTCAGAGGTGCTTTTTTGTTTATGTATCACAGACACACTGTAAGAGGCAATAGGAACCCATACCAGGTTTTGTGTTTCCTGTGTGTGTGTGTGTGCGCATGCATGAGTGCGTGTTTTGGTGCGTGACGGCATCAAAGACTGCACCATCATATCTCAGTTACTTGTCACAGCATTTTTCCACGAGTATTACTCCGTGTGTGTTTTTAAGAAATGCATAATTGGCATCAGGACGACCCTTACTAATCCTCAACCGTGTGTGTGTTCACACTTGAAGTCGTGAATGATTCTTGTGACTAATCAACGGAGAACTTCTCACATAAGACTGTATGCCTTTTTCTATCTCATCAACTTACTCGATCCAAGTACTGTTGGCTGTAAATGAAATTGTCTTAATGAACTCGACTGATGCAGACGTTGTACAGGCAGCGAGATAATGTCAAAGCACTTGGCTGGCTCCACGGTTTCCCTGTATGTTTGTATGAGTGTATATGTGTGTGGGTGTGTGTTTATGCTCCTCCAGAGATTTACTGTAACGTCAGTGGGGATGCGGATGGTCGGCTGTGAGCACTTAGTCTAATTGATTGGCAAAATTACAACTAAAACCATTCTTGGTTACCATAGCAATAGGAGCACCAATGAGGAGCCTCCAAGCTCTCCTGTAAACATGCAGTTTTTTACAGTATCGCCATTAATTGACTACAACTGTCTTCTAAAAGAAATCACACCGTTATGTTTTGATTGTGTGTGTGTGTGTGTGTGTGTTTAGATAAACTGAAGCCATAGGTTGTCATTAACAACACAATATAATCAGCGTACCCATTTTTCCCCACAGTTGTATGTGTCATGACTGATAAGAGACCAACTCAGAGACTATTTTTGATACCAAGTGTTTGAGATTTGGTACCACTGTCTTTGTGAGTGTGTGTATGTGCGTTTTTGTTAAAGCACCTTGAAGCCCTCCTATAACCTACGAGGCCGTGTGTCATCTGTGTTTGTGTTTACAGTCTCAGCTGTAAGTTCCACGTGTTGTTCAGTTCAGTCATGGCGACCAAAAACAGACTGAAGGAGAGAGAGAGAGAGGGGCGGGGGGGGGGGGACTCAGACTGACCAAACTAACACCTTGGTTCTCCGCTCACAGACCAGGAGGTAGAAGGTGGATTACAGTGTGATCGGCTAATATGATCTATCTTCCTGCAGCGTGTGTGTATGTTTCAAAATGTATTTCTTTTGGGCATTACTTGAACCCTGATTAGTTTTTGGTATTGTTTTTTTTTTTTAAATGTAAAAACTCTTGTTTGAGGAGTGACTCTTATTATTGCTGAAACATTCACTGCCATAATATGGAAACATGTAATACAACATGAATTAAATGATAGTTTTTTACTTTTTCAGTTTTGTGTCGTTATTTGTGTAGTGGGGGAATCCAACTGGTTAAAAACCTGCAACACAACATCCTGTAATTTGTTGGTTTTTTCTTGAAGATGCCAAAAATCCAAAATGATCAATTATGTTATTTGATAATTTTTTTTAAATTAAGAGAATTATTGTTTACCTTAATAAATGTGTTAGAATAAGAACTGCAGTCACCTCGCCACATGTTGATCTCAACAATGAAGTTTTTATGATATTAAATCTTGAATAAAGCATTTGGTTATAAAAGACATTTTGTTTTTTTAGGTATTATGAGTGGAGAAATTTCAAATTAAAAGTTGGGAGGAGTAATTTTTACACACCATGACATGTCAGGCTGATGGGGGCGCTACAGGACAAGTCGGGATGATTTAAGTTATCATTAATCATCTGGGGAATCATCTTTTATTACTATCATTGACCTGGTGAAGTTTTCTTATCTTAAATCTGTATAGAATCTAATTGTGAATGATTGAATCCAAAACTAAAACTGCAGAAGAGTTTCTGTGGAGGAGTTTGCATTTCAAGAATGAACTGGAAACATTGAGAATCAAGTCAATCAATCAAATTTTATTTGCAAAGCCGAATAAATTACAATTTGCCTCTCGGGGCTTAACATGGTGCAACATCCTCTGTCCTGAACCCTAGACTAGAGTTCAGGGGGAAAATAAACCTTTTAAGAGGATTTAATCAAATTATTCAACTAAACCAGAGGATTTTTTGGGCATTAAAGTGGAAGTGGTGTGAATAAAGTCGACTCCTCTGCTCCATCACATCAAGTCAGAGGATCAACAGTTTTCTGTTCAAAGCCCAAACACTGATCACCACACTGTTAATGTCCTGAAAGAGAAAGAATTTCCTCGTTACTAAAACTCATTCTGAAGAATAATTTCACCAATCCCTCTAAACAATGTATTTTTCTCATATTCGCGAACATCAGTAATTTGATATATTCTTAAGTTTATACCCAAAATTTTGATTTCAATTTTAAAGTCAAATTTTTATTCTCAATCTGCAAAATTAAACAAAGAAATCTTCCTCTTCTTGTTGTTTTTTACTTTTCCATGACCCTGATACTGAAATTATCTACTGGACAAAGGTAGGTTCATGTGTCACAAAACAGTTTTAATATTTCACATTCATTGTCACTCCACAGATTTATTCAAGAAGTTGCACAAAGAGAGAATGTAACAATCTTTTAACATCTTGTGGCATCTATTCACTTTTAATAAAAACTCCATTAAATGTCATTTAGTCAACACGGCTGTCTTCTCTCAACATTTAATCTGCATCTATTGTCCTCCTCCAAATCCCTTGTGCCCTGAATGCACCACACAATCTGTTTGCTGTGTGTTCTGCTCTCCGCAGTCTTACAGACAGAATAAATATCCTGTGTGAGGTTTAGCTGTAATCAATTAACTGGTCACTGCTGGAGTAAATACACCCCAAATGGCTCCACTTCCCCCGTCGTACCAGGCCGCTGTTGGTCTGTCTGGTTCGATCACATCCCTGCAGCTCGGGTCCCACTCCCCTGGTCTGTCCGTCTCCAACCCTGCATCCTCAGACAGCTTCCTCACATTCACCAGAGCAAACCCTGACATTTGGGTCAACTTCTGTCAGTGTCTAATAAAACAGTCATCCCAGTGCTGGACTCCTCCGCCCAGGCCTCTCTCTCTCTCTCATTAGCCCACGAGGAAGGCCCCGAAGTAGCTCGCCCTGCCGTCCATCTCCATGGCGCTGGCGTTGCTGACCGTGACAAAGAGGCGGTCAGCAGGCTGGAGAAAGGCAGTGCCGGCCTGGTGCAGGGAGAAGAGGCCGGGCTCCTGACCCCGGGGCCAGCAGGCACTGCGAGACGACTTCATCAGCAGGATGGGCACCGTGTAGGAACTCATCTGAGGGCCCACACCACAAAAAACAGATCACAACTTTATAAATCAAATGATAAAGACTTTTTTTAATTCTATCTGAAATCAATAACTTTATAAATCAACTCTAGTGCATTTAAGGACACGCTGACATTTGAGGATTAAGAGTTCACTTGCACTCACAAGTTGCGTGTCATCAGAAACATCACTGCCCTCGGCGCAAATCTGAGTCACCGTGTCCAGTCCTGACATTGTGTTCACATTAGCTCATTTCTGTTTGGTTTTTTTTTTCTGGAGAAGTTTTGTTTCGTGTTGCCCTGACCAATCAGTAATGAGTCACACACTTTCCTCCCCCCGGTGGTAGGGAAGACTTGGAAACCCACTTCCTCCCTCGCTGCTGATGAAAGTAGCCTGTGGTTGTTTCACTGGCACTTCCTCTCTCTTCATGACACCGGTTGGTTCTGCGGCTTCTTCTTGCTCCTCACTGCAGCGGTAAGTTTGCTTCAGGTAGAAGCTGCGTTGTGATCAGGTCGATAACTGTGGGTACTGCTGAAGTTTCTTTACCCAGATCTTCCACTGGTGCTTCCTGTTTGTAACTCTGTTCACGTGGTGCTGAGCAGGGCCTGGACACCTGGAGGATATTTCTTCTTGCATTGTTCTGCTGCTTCCCTTTTAATTCAAGTGCTTACCAAACATGTGTTTTAAGGTTTTAACTTTAGACACTACTTTTTAGGAACAGTTTAAAATCAACTCTCCAGCACTTTGATGAATTGTCTTCTTTAATTACCTTTGTTTGTAGTTTCCACTTTCGTTTTCCGTGGTTAAAGTGCTGCTTTAGAGTTTGTTTATGGTTCAGGTTGATTTTGTTAATTTAGTTTTATTCACTTTCACTCAGTATGAATTGCTTTGTTTTTATTGGCCCCTCTAACCCAGGCTGACAGCACACAGAATAAAGTCAGAGGAATATTACACATATTTGGGTTAATACAATTAATAATAGAGACAGAGGACACATGGTTTGTCGAGATGAGCCTATGAGAAGATGTATTTGTCCAACATAGTGGCACCATGTGAAGACTAATGACGTGTTGCCACTGTGACTTCTGAGATTATGATATTCCTTTTTGTAAGGACAGCTCAGGTGACGACCACTGTTGACTTGTTAACTGTTTGCTGTTAAGTAGTATTAAGGTTGCTGTGATAAGTGGCATAGAGTAATTGGTGGATATTTGCTTGGTGCTCAACTGTGGTTCAGTCTTTCTTTGGATCAGGAGGTTGCTGTCATCGGGAAAGACACAGCGTCCACTCTGGACACGTCCAGTCTGACATGAACCTATTCTCAGATGTGAACTTTGGAAAACTGAAATCCAGACATCTTCCAGAGTCTGTCTTTCACATATGAAGAACACAGCAGGAGACTGTTTGTGTTCGACAAGCTCATGACCACAGGAAAATGTCAGCAGCTCTAGAGATAAACAACCAGAGTCTAATTAACCAAAGCAACATGTTTGTGGGGGGAAGGCAGAGAACTGGGCACTTGGCACAGAAAGGCCCCAGATGGGTTTGACCCAGCAACCTTTTTGCTCTGAGTCGACAATGCACATGCTGCAGATAAAGTATCTCTCAATTCCAAGTATTGTCCTTTAGGGCACACAAAGCCTCACCTTCTTGTAGATGTACTGCACAAGCTGAGCTCCTTCCTCCTCTTTTGTTTCCCCTGTCTCGTCCTTTGCCTCCGTCTCCATCTCCCCCGTTGAGGGCAGCCTGAAGTAGGTTTGTGCGTAGATGTAGTAGAGGCCAGCTGTGGGCACCAGCAGCTCGCCTCCCCTCAGCTCCATGTTCTGCAGGAAGGACAGACCCCTGTGGCCCTCCCACCCTCTGATACGCTCCCCCAGGTACCCCCTGCTGCTCCGCGCGCCTGCAATCACACAAACAAGCAGAAACACATACATGCTCAACATTTAAGACCGTTCGCTGTGACGCAAGAACTTTTTGAGATTGCACTTTGAGTGTTGCTGAGTTTAAACAGTCACTGCAATTCAAATGAGAAACAAATGTTTAAAGAGTGTGTGTAAAGTAAATAATGCTTACAGATGTGCCCGCAGCGGCAGCCCAACAACTGCTCCTCTAATGGATTATAATAAACTCAGCTATGTGTTGCTTTTCAGAAATGTTTTGTTTTCTTTCTGCCATGGTTTTTAGTTTTCCTTAGTTCAGCAACGACAGCCACATGTTGATGATCTCCTGCCTCCAGAAAAGGAAAAGATAACAGGCCTGTTTTTAGATTTGTTTTAAGAAACCGGATCCTTATGGACAAGATCCTTGAAGCCAAAGCTAAAATAAGTGTATTTGCCCGAGATATAAAAAGTATCAGAGCTATTTACGCTGCAACAACAAGAATAACAGAGAACGACATTGTTCGTCTCATCATCAACTTAAAGCCTGTGCCAGTTTTAATTTGGACTGTTTAATTTGATCAAACAGAAAAATGTGCAGCATCAGAAGTTTGTCCAGTTTCCAGCGGCTAAAAACAAAATGAATCTTATGGAACAGAATCCGTGGCTGATTCCACAAACTCTAAATAAAACTTCACAGATCTAATTGTCCAAACTTTTTAAAGATTTGCTGGAAAAAAAAATCTGTTAATTTGGAAATTTTGTTTTGCTTCCCCTCGAAAAACTTTCAAGACCAATCCAGACAATATACTGACGACTCTCAGACGTACGAAGATTTAAAACATCTCAATAATAAATGGGTCTAGTATCCTACAGCTAATTAGAACTTACAATAGAATCGTTATCTGTAATCTGCTGGTGCTATGCTTAAGTAGGTGAGATTCTGTATCATCAGAGCCGTTATAGAGGCTGTGGATCAGGAGTTAGAGCGGGCTGTCCACTGACCATAAAGTCGGTGGTTTGATCCCCGG